AATAAATATAGAATAGGGAAAATATAGACAAAATAAATAATGAAATCAAAAAGTAAAATTAATAAAAAATGAATAAAATGAATAATAAAATGAAGTAATTGTAATAATCTTAAATTAATAAGGTTTAAAATGATATCTTAATTTATGTTGCACTGTGTAGACAAATAAATTAATTACGCTCTTATTTGTTGATGTTTTTATGCAATAATTGCCACATTATTACTTAATTACTAATTTATCAAGCCATTTGTTTCTTTTATCAAGCCGTTTAATTATTTCTACATGTATTTCCAGTTATGGCAGATGTGGTCCTCCACACATGAAAGGCCACATAGTTATGTCTTTGGCTGAAATAATCTAAATAAACAAGTATTTGGCAGCATACACTGATTGTCCCGTAATTACTTTAAACACACCGCGTGAGTAGCGACACCTTTTCTTATCTGTCACCTAGAGGACATTAGCACCTGCTGACCTTTGTGCATGCTGCAGATGGTAGCTCGGCCTGATAAAATTATTAAAACAAAGTCACTCGAGAGTTTTGTCCAAAGGATTTGTGAGGGTAAAACAACACTGTCCTCGTTTGCTCTTGTGCTCAGTCACCTAGCTTTGGCTGTCCACGTAATTTATTACTTGGTAACCACAGATGACCCCAAACAGCACGTGTGTGGCCATGTCTCCATGCGCAGGCCTTTTGTTTGACAGTATGTGCGTCTAATGATGTGACAAACGTAATGAGACGAATCAATCCATTAGGTCCCATCAGTTGTCCTCAGAGAGATGGGGGAGCTCGCAGAGAACGAGGAGGACTCGAGGGCTGACATGGTTTGACCCTGTAAGCCTGTAAATCCAGCAACTCCAGCTGTTGTACTGAAGACCTCCGTCATTTGGTTGTTTGTCCTTCTGGGAATGTCTTCAAATTAGCGAACAGCTATAACTCTCCGAGACTGGAGTCGTAGCCAGCTTAGACAAAACACTAATCATCTGTAATTACTGATTTGCCATTACTGGGCCGCCATCATTGGCTTGATGGAACAATGCTCTGGTGAATTCGCTTGTTACTAAGGCTATTATTACCCACTCAGACAAAAGCTGTGCTAAACATGTGCTCCACACATGTGCACAAATACTGGGCAACAATACGGTCTAATATCCCAATGCAGAGATCTGATGATTACAAGAAATCAAAGCTGAGTGTTTTTTTTTTTTTATTATTATTCCTGGAAGTATAAGGAAGTCCTTCAACAATAATTGCTGCTAGAACTGGTTGCTACTCTGTAAAAAGCTCCAGTAGAATAAATAAGTCAATTTAAAATTGTGTATTTTATTACAAACATCTTGAGAAATGTCAACTGGGGGTAAACTGTGTGTGTCTTTTGTTGAATTTAAGATTTTATGGAGCTCTACCAGGTAATAACCAAAGCATAATCTTTTCTAAAACCACTTTTAAAAAAAAGCAAATAACCAAAATAAGAAATGCTGCCCAAACCAGCAGGAAGGACCTAGAATAAACACTAACTGTGACCACAAAGCATGTATGTTTTTATAGATAAATTGAAGGTAACAAGAGGTGTCAACGTGTCAACGATGCACTCATAAAAGCATTATTGACACATTGACAGAAGAATCAAAGCGTTCACAACACGACAAACTGACAGAGTGAAAAACAACGGCTGAGACTTTGCTCAGTCTCTGAGATGCGGGAGACAAAACTGTGTGGCTTTTCCAGTGACAGATAAGATTTGTGCTCTACAAAGGCTTTGATCTTAAGGCTTTCTGACAGGCTTTAATCTGAGCAGACCACACACGCACACACCTACACACACATACCAGTTCTTAATCTCAGAGGAAACGTAAACAGAGCAGACATATATTCCTCATGGTGTTTACAGAAAACAGAATATGGTTGGCACAACCGTAAAAAAGAGAAACAAAAAAAATGTATTCTTTAGGAGAGTAAATAATAGGATTTTATTTTTAAAAATATATCCATAAACTGTTTTCTGTTCATTTTGATATCTTAACTCACTAGTTCTAGCGAGTCATGCTGTATTATGTTTCTAGGACAACGGCTGTCACTGTTGATGCATCCATAATGGATCCTGCTGCACTTTTTGTTGTTATTTTCACTGCCTTTGCTTCCACAGATGGACGTCTGATGCAGCAAAATCATATTTCGAGGAAAACTGAAACGTGAGAAAGTCAAATGCATTTATTGAGGTTTATTCTACAATGAAATGAAGAACAGAATGTAATCGTATTTATCTCAGAGTACTTGTTGTTTTATCACAGGGTGACACAGTGGAACGCACCTGGAACGGAAGATTTCTGTTGTTTTTGTTATCTGGGAAAAAAAAAAGATTAAAAGACCAAGAAACATGAGCAAAGAAACTCTACACACTTCAGTTAACAGAATATGACTGTTTTCTACATTGCTGTACAACATCCTGCAGCAGTTTTACCAGGATGTAGCTAAAATAATAATAAATTTTATTCTAAATATTAAACAAAAACAACTTACACACACACACACACA